GATTTTTACCCCACGCGTGGAGCCGTCGGCAGCCGCCGCCGCGCGCGGAGACTGCGGTGCGGGGACAGCGCCGTGCGGCGCCGGCTGCGCCCGGGGCGGTGGCACTTGTGTCCCGTGCGGGGAGCCACCTGCGGCCGTCCCCCACGTGTGGAGGCACTGCGCGCCACGCGCTCATCAGCGGCTCAGAACAGCGTGGAAGTTAATCCTAGTTCAGGCCGTGTAAAACTCAACCGGTCCTGCCCTTCGGTACGAAATCTGCTGCCCTTCCCTCGCTGCTGCCGCGGTTGTAGTAGCTGCTGTTCTGGTAGGAGTAAAAACCAGGGCTCTTTCCCCAGGCAGTGCACCGCACACAACTAACTCATCGGTAGGCCCCTTCCAAGGCAAAGACGTACATAAATGTTTACTTTCATGCATGGCGAGTTCTGTCACTGCCTGTTTACAATACATAAATTAAGCATATTTAGCATGTCCTAAGCGTAACACTAGAGCAAGCAGATGTGTACAGCAAGGAGGTGAAAGGAGGGCAAAATAATGGCATACATAAAGAAAGAGTAGCTAAATCAAGCCGTGTCCATTTTTATCTTGCTCATTGTTTCAGAAAAAAAATAAAAGCACAAAGATTGTTTAATACATGATAGATGGTAATAGCTTTTAGTTTATTGTTGAAATGCCCAAAGAATTAAATTATAACGCAAACTAATGCATTAGGTATTGTACAAATGCACATGAAGATACAGTATATTCACTTTGCTAATGCAGGCAATTGAATTAATTAGTTTTCTGTGTGATAAGCAAAAATCACTAATTTTACACCCAGATCTGCTTTTTTTTTTCTTTTTGTTTTTTTCCCCATGAGACAATGATTGTATGATTTCATGCTTTTCTGGACTTTCCCAGAGCATTCCTCTTCCTCAGATCGTATTTTGATTTTCTATAGGTGCAAAAATGCAGCTGAAAATGCTAAAAATACAGGTTGATTCCAGACTTAGCACAAACAAACAGGAGGTGATTCACTTCACTGAGTGTCTCTGAAATTCCTGTTTTATTTCTTCTGATTAATTTAAATTATTTTCCATCATCTTCACATTTTACTACCTCATTGCTTTGCTTGGCCCGCCAGATCATTAATAATCATCTTTAGCATAATGAAAGTCAGAGTGCTGTGGCATCTGCTTGGTAAGTTTTAAGCACATGGTTCCCTCCTATTTTCTGTCTCTTGTTTGGCTCTTCATAATTTTGTCTCTCACCACCACAGTGCAACATTAATCCTGTGTGACCTATTTTGATGGTGTCCACACTGCAGTTGCTGCGTTCCATCTCATCTTGGTAACTCTTCTAGTGGTAGCAGTGTAGCTCTGGGAATGCAGAGCTCTGTGTTGGCTCTAAGACCAGGTATTCACTTGGTGTCTTAGTTGGATTTTGCTGCTGTTTCATTCTTTCACATCTACGGAGGTAGAGCTATCTCGATCAGCTGGTTGAAAGCTGGCTTAGGGTTGGCTGCTGAGTGACTGGCCTTGATAGATGACATGTCTTTTGATATCATTGGGAGTCATACTTTTCAAAAATGTGTTAAGCATTTGCTTGCCCTCAAAAAGCAAAAATTGTAGGTTGTATTTTAAATCATTGTGGCTAAAGAACATTTAAATAGGACTTTCCATATGTCGTACATCTTTTTCATTGAATTCAGTGACAAAATTATGATAAAAAGTGTAGATTAAGCAGAAGATACTATGCAGTGTGTTTTCATGTATGACCTTCCCTGTCTACATGTAGATAATTCTGTATAAAATGAGGCTGCTTAGACTGCATTTTCAAAGGCATTTGAAAACATGATACTCATTCAAAAAAAGAAGTACTCTAAGGTATTATCCTAGAAAACTTTGGCTTATTTTTTCATGTTAAGTCACTGTAACAATGTAATACAAAATCCCATTTGAAATGTGTGTGTGTATATATATATATATATATATATATATAAAAAACCTCCCCATTCACAGTATTATTGCTCAGTCCAGAATGCCCACAAAGAAGCTTCATTTTTCTGTAAATTGTCAATTTAATAAATATTGCCTATTAACCATGCATAGGGTTATTGTTAATAACGACATTATAAACAATTGTGCTATTATGACATGTCTAACACTGTGCTGTCCTACACTGTACACAATTACTGAAGGCTTTTGTAAGCTGGGTGTAAAAGTTTACTAGTTTAGACTGTGGCATTTTCAGCCACTTAACGTTAATATTGTGTTATCCACTGTGGAGAAATTAGATCCGCTGCACTTATTTACCATATAGATGATTGTAGGATTTTTCATTTTCTTGCTATACAGTTCTGATTTTGCAAATGAAACCAATTGTTGCCATTTAGCAACTTTAAATTATTTTTAAACCTAAAGAACAGATCGCTCATAATGGAGCTACAGCAATTTAAACAAAATCAGAATCTGACTCAAAGTTTTCTATTTAGTGTATATTTTTTATTTTAGCATCAGAATGAGCTGTATAAATATAAGAATTCTTAGTTCATGAAGAAATAGCACAAAAATGTAGGTACATGTTTCTTTTACAGTCTGCCATGGCTTACATGGGTCTCCCTTAAACTTTGAATCCCAAACGCTCTGCTTGTGCCTTTGAAAGAAACCAAGTGATGCCCTAAGCCTCTGAACTTGTCAAGGGACATAGATAGGCATCTCCAGAGGGAAATTCAGAATCTAATGAAATCAAGGATCTTCCTCTTTCCTTTTTTTCTCTCCCTTCTTTGCTCCAGAGTAGAGAAGTCAATATTAAAAGATACAGTAGTCTCTGAGAGGAGTCACTATCTTAGCAGGTAGCTTACTGGTAATGAGATTTTTTTAAATTTTTTTTTTTTTTCCTACGACCTCCTGGTTTAGAGACACCAATTTAATTGCAGAATACCATTTCAAGGGTTGCATTTTCCCCTCTCCCTTTTATGCTCAATACTTGCTAAGAATCTATTTGCGTATATATTTTATGAGAATCAACAACAGAGTAACTATAATCAGATGGAATTTGAGTCTCTATCTACATCTATAGCTGTATACCTTATGTTCCGCCAGGCCTTTTGAAGGAATTATTTCCTTTCTCCCCTTTGTGTTTCCTTCATGCAGTTTCTGCACACTGAAATGTACTTGTCTGTTACATGGAGAACTGCAAGCAGCAATGCGGCTGCAAGGATTGACAGAAGGGAGCTGCCTCAAGGCTCTATGATTAAATGAAGCTGCTGCAACATGCTGCAGTTGGAAAAGGGGTGAGATCTTGATACGCAGCAGCAAACAATGAGTGTGACTGAGATTATCGATTTCAAAATGACTGCAGATTGACTTGCTTCTTTAATGTTCTATATATAATTATATGAAAATTACATTTTTATGTACATGTATTATCTTTCACATTCATCTCTCATTCATTTTTAAATAATGCCCCTAAGAATACAGATAAAACAAAATGAACTTTAGTAATAAATCCAATTTTTCTTATTTATGAAATGCAATGATCACCTTTGTGTGTGTCAAACCAATTTGTAATTCAGTCTTCTTATTAATGAGATTGTTTATTAGTCCTCAATTTCTCGGGCTCATGAAATGGAATGTAAAGAAAATACCATTTATGTAACATCACCTCTGATGTTGTAAAATACACTCACAACTGGGGAGTACACGCAATGCCTAACTTTA